CACACACACACACACACACACACACACACACACACACACACACACACACACACACAAGTTTCTTGCTTCATAATTTGCTGAGGCATTCCCTAGAGTGTTATAGATGAGCTTCATGTGTTTCTCTAAGCCGAGTCCTCAGGGCATTAGAAGATGACCTTACAATCCTAAATCACTCTTGCAGAAGTTTTTTCTGGGAGGAAAGATTGAACTCGGCTCCAGTGGTTTTCTACTCTGTAGATGCCGGTAGCTCAACCAAAGGAAGTTCAAACTGTTGAGGGAAAATGCACGTTCAGTCTGATTCTCTCACATGTGGGCTCGGAGACAAGACCCTTAAATACTGTGGGGACACGTCTTCTGAGAACGAGTGTTGGTGGAAGAATTGTCTTCTGCCTCTTGCAGAACTCAATTCTTCTTGAGCTCTAAGAAGCTGCAAACAATTTTATTAACAAAAGCGGGGATGAAAAAGCAACAAAATGCTTTCCTCCTTTCATAAATCTATTCTTCCTACTTCATTCTGAATCGTCATTAATGACATTGCCAAACCCTAGTCACACAAGCTCAAAATCTGGGTTGGATTCAAGCTTCTCTGTGTCCTTTTCCCTCCCTGTTCAGAGCTGGGAGATCTACTTGATTTCATCTCCGTGATGCCTGTTATTTCTTCCCTCTCTTTCCCATTCCAACTGCAATGATCCAGGTTTGAGTGTTCATTACCCATTTGGAGTGGTCATCTGTTGGCCATCACCAGCCTTCATTTCCCTATTCTTACAACAGTCATACCTCAAGTTCCCTCTGGAGAACTAACTGCTCTCCAACCTCCAGCTGGAGGGTGAGGCGTAACCTAGCCTAAGTCAATGATCATTCCACTCCCAGACTACCGTGGTTGCCTGAGCGGTGAGCATGTGACTTCATTAGAAGCAATGAAAAGCTGTGAGAATTTCCCAGAGACTTCAGAGGGACAGCAGGATACAGGGCCTGAGGCTTGTGCCGACGACTGAAGAAACCATTCCAAGAAATGGAGAGAAAGTAAAGGGCTCTCTTGACATCACTTGAGTCCTAGGTAAAGCTATGCCTGAAGCCACACCTGCTCTGGATTGCTCAGCTGTGTGAGCCCCCAAATTCCTTAAGCTGGTTTGAGCTTTTAGTTGAAAAGAAAGATATATCCTTGATGCGGCTTTGATACAACAGCTTGCTAACTTGTGTACTATTTCCTTCAACTTGTACATCACATTTCTCCTCTATGTGGTTGTCAGAATGCTCTGATCAAGACACTTGATCAAAACCCCTTTTGATCAAAGCCACTTACTTGCTTGCCTCCCTCGATCTGTATTTCTCATCTTCTCCCCAGCAGTCATCCTCACACACCCGCGACCTCAGTACCACTGTGCTTCTCACTCTGACCTTTCCCCACCTCATTCCTTTAAGTCGTTACGTAAATATTTGGTGAGTGCTTACTGAGCGCCAGGCACTGGATGCTGGGATTCAGCGGCAAACCAAGCAGACAAGAATCCATGTCTCCTTGAAGCTGACAGTGAATATGGGAAGACTGGCATGAAACAAATAAACAGAAAACATAGCATGGATCCCATGGAGAAAGATAAAGCAAAGAAGGGCAGTGAAGAATCCTGGGCCGGGGGTGCAATTTAAATAGAATTGTCAGAGAAACTGACAATTTAGCAGAGGAAGGAATTGGAGAAACTCATTCCAAGCAGAAGGAAGAAAGAATTAGCAAAAGATGTTGAATCAGGAGCAGTTTGGAGGCCAGTGAGGTGGGAACAGAGTGAGAGGAAGAAGAGAAGCGGTAGGAAGTATAGGTCAGGTAACCAAGGCCAGATGTGGTGGAGTCTTTACTGCATGATAATGACCTCTGCTGTCAGGCTAAGTGGGTGGGGAGCCACTGGAAGTTTTGAGCAGAGGACTAACATGACTTGTCATCACTCTGGCTGCTGAGTTGCTAGGAGATCGTAGGGAAGCAAGGGGTGAAGCCAGGAGTGCAGATGGGGGCTGTCGATACATCCAGCAGAGAGACGATGGGGGGGCCGAACCAGCATGGTGAGCGGATGAGAAACATCCGGATCCTGGAGACAGTAGACGATAGCATTAGCTAATTGACTGGATGGAGAGAGAGAGAAGGAAGAGGGAGAGGGAGTGGGAGAGGAAGAAGAGAGGATGACTTCAACGTTTGGGGCCCAGGCACCGGGAAGGATGGGGTTGCTGGTAACTGATGTAGAGAAGCTGCGGGGCGAGGAGGCTCAAGGCTGGGGGTCAAGATTAGGGCTGTGGCTTTGGTATAAGACTGAGAGGCCTGTGAGACATCCAAATGTTGGAAAGATCTAGTAGGTGATCGGGAATAAGGATCTGGGGTTAAAGGGGAGTCCTGGGCTGAACATAGAGATTTGGGGGACACATATAGATGGTATTTAAAGCTCTGGGACCAAATGCAGTGGCCTGGGAATGAGAATGGAAGGAGAAGAGAAGGGGCAGGACTTCTAGGTCCAGGCTGAGAGATTGTTCTCTTACTATATTGAATACATTAAATAAATAAAAAGACTGATAATTCTGACAAACAACATGACCCAACAGATATACTTGACTACATCAGTTTTTCCAAAAGTAATATTCAAAGGGTGCAAGTGAGAAGATATAGGCCAAAAATATATATATATTGAATTTTTTAAAAAGAATCTTCCATGAGCAAATTAGGAAGACTATTTCTATTTTTGTCCAGTTGGTTTCAAATTTCCTATGCTTAGACATGTAATAAAAAGTTTTGCTCCAAGCACCAATCCATTCCCACTAAGAATAAACAACTGGAGTGCATGGCCTGCAGAGTGGTGCACACATCACAGTATTAGTTCTCTGAGAGTATATGGTGTGTCTAATGATAACTTATCAACTCAGATACATTATTAGAATAGGTTAGAGGAAGGATCATTATTGGAAAATAACTTGCCATAAAGTTTTGCAGAAATAGCACAATTTCTGCAATTCAGAGTTTTTACTCATTCAGCTAGGCTTTATTCCCAACCGATTATAATTACTGAGGCTTAATTTCTGTAGCATATGTGACCTTTACTTGGTAACAAATGCAAATAGAAAGGGTCAGTGCTATAAACCTACCTACAGTTTCTTTTCGAAAGACTCACGATACCATTTTGGCTTGGAGACACTATTTACAAATAAGGGAAAAAATATAGCTTAAAAATGTGGATCCATGTATTGCAGGAAGAGTAGATAATATTTTCCTATGCATTATGCAAGACTGACTACAGTGTACATAATCCATTATTTTAATTAGCTTATTTATAGCCCATTT